TTGTCCCTAATTGTATATGTCAATTCCCACTTCCTATGAGTGCCAAGCATATTCACACATGCTTTAACATAGGCGCACTTCGAGCGACGCCTACAATAACCAATCAACAATCATCAATTCTCTGTCATTCTCTTCAATAATCAATCTACCAACTCTCATCAAGATTTTCTTGATTACTCTTTTTCTCTCATTTCTAAACTAGCTTCTCTCAAATACAAAATTTCGCATTCATTAGATCTAGAAACATCTAGCCATATTTGAAGTTGCCTTCGTCCTAGACGTGAAAGGTTTAATTTCTGAGGGTTTGGTCCCAAATCTCTCTTTCAATTATTTAATTTAATTGTTTTTATTATTATTTCCTTGAAGTTACTAACGTGTGTATTTTGTTATTAGAAAATGTACGAGGCATCAAAGTAAGTACTTTAATGATTTTTATTGATATTATGATGTAGAGATCATGTTTAGGTTGTTATTATGATATTCTTAGTATCATGTCTAGGGTAGATTTAATGTTAAATATGATCGTTACGATGCCTTCTATGTTCTTCCTAATTATTATGATTGTTAGTATCATGTTAGGGTTAAAGATTTGATTTTTAATGCTTAGTGACATGCTAGGGTTTGTTATTAATCTTGTTAGTATCATGCCTAGGATCTTACTATTTTTATGCTTTATCATGATTAATTTAATTATTATGATTGTTATTTCAATTATGATTATAATTATTATTATTATTATTATGATTATTATTATGTTGCTTGATACATTATATTTATTTTTATTGCTTGATCACGCCTATATGCATGATTAAAGGGAATTTGTACTTGTAATCACGCTTAATAAGATAATTAATAATCTTGTTAAGGGTTAATTTGATTATAATTCAAGTGATCGCCAATAATAGTTTATTTGTGCATTAATATTCAACCAACATAGATTAAACAGGTTTAGGGTAATTCTATTGATTGCATGTTAGTCAAAAAGCGCACATGAAAACGATCTGAATAAAGTAGAGGCCTATTATTAGGGCAGGTTTAATCTCTTTTAGGTTGGATTTGTACCTTCATCCCCGAACCCTATTTGGTTCAAGACCTTATGGAGTTGACGATCTCTTGGATCGTTAAGGGGTGTAACCTTCACCTGGTGAACGGTTTACAAGTTCCTAAACTTGTTGGCGACTCTTTTGCTCTATCTTCTTTCCCTTTTGGACGCCACCGTACTTTAGTGTATGATCACAGTGGGGTTCAAGCTAGGGGATTGACGCTTGAAATATTCCCTACATGTGGGTACGACTGGACAGTGAGCAAATACCCCACTGGTGTATTAGGACTGGGACTGAGCAGCCTTTGCCCATCTTTTCCCTACCTAGTCCTGACTTGACCGCCTTTCCCCACGGGCAAGCATCTTACACATACGACCTTTTGGTTGCCAACGCTAGGGGGCAAGCACCATCAGTAACACCACCAGTTCCGCCACCCTAACCTGAGCCCGAGGTAGCATTTTCTGCACTTGGCATGTCTCACTCGTTCCCCCATGTTGACTCTGACCCAGTTTGGGACCTTCAGAGTATAGGTCAGGCTTTAGGCCGTATCGAGCATTCTCACACTGAAATCCCCCGTATTTTCAAAATAATTTATAAATGGAATTTTATTTCATTTATAATATATATTTGTATTTTTCCGGAATTTAATTTCAAAAGTTTCAATTTTTAATTTGGGTCGAAAATTATTTTGGTACAAATTTTTTTTACATACCATCGTTCTATAATTCATGTCCAAACAATCAAAGTCAACCTCACTTTACTTTCTTAAGTAGCCCATTAATTTTATGAGGCCCAATATTCATATTTACCCTACAAATCTCTCTCCTATAAATACACTATACATCCCTAAATTTTTCCCCACACAAAAAGGTTAGTATTTTATTTTTCCTTTTATTTTTTTCTTCTTTCCTTTCTTTTATTTTTCTTTTTCCTTTTTCTTTCTTTTCTATTCCTTTTTTTTTTTCTTTTCCTTTCTTTCTTACGTGAGTTTTCACTCACCTTGCTGCCCCCACCGACTGCCACACCACCGCCGGTCACCGGCGCCGCCCCCTGACCGCCGGCGCACCACCAGCAGCGTGGCCCACGTGGCTGCTTGCTCTCTCTTCCCTTTGTTTTCTTTTTTTTTTTGTTCAATGTTTGTTAAATTAGTTTTGGGTTTTGATTTTATAATATAAAGTTTATATTTTTAGTATCAAATTCATGTTTTTGATAGCTTAAACTTATAATTTCATATTTTAATTATGTTATAAATTTTCAGATTTTGTGATTATAAAACCTAGGGTTTCAATTTATTGAAATTGGGATTTTAGGGTTCTTATGATCAATTAATTTGGGGCTTTTGTTCCTATTGTATTTCTATTGATTAATTAAGCATAAAAACATGTTTTTAAGGAAGTTTTAAGAACTTTTAATCTAATTTATAATGCTGGAAATTTGGTTAAGTATTAATTTATTGTTGTTGCTTGTTTTCTAGGAAGTGATTATTTCTTAGGAGACTTTTAAGTGATTAAAAGTGGCACAAAGGATTGTTTACACGAGGTACGTACATGTCTACTTCGTTGTAAGTGGTATCATGTTTAGGTACCAAAGAAAAGAACTTAGTTTCATGATTAGAGAACACTTAAATGAAAATTGTTTGGTTATACATTTAATTAATTCATGTGCTTATGTTTATGAGACATGTTTTGGTGAATTGATTATGTTTGTATGGAATTATGGATGCAAACATGTTGAATTACATTAGATTAATTGTTTGTATGGAATGTTGATACAAGCATAATTTTATTGGATTGGTTTGTTAACCACATTTGGATTATTAAAGGATTGGAATTGAATGGTTTAAGTGGAATGAATTTATTTATTATTCCACAAGGTTTTTATTTATTTTATTTATTAATCAAGCATGACTTGTTAGTATGTTGAGTAAAAGTGGATTAATCCGAAATGGCTAGGTGGGTTGACTATGTTCAACAATTTGGATAATTTGGAAGTTTAATGAAATTAAAGGCCAATTTGGGATGTGATCACCATTGTCCTAAATAAGATTAAAAGTAAATTGATATATGATTTTTATATATGGTCTATTTGATTGAGTCGGCTATTAATTAAAATTGTAATCACGTAAAGTGAAACATGGATGAGCAATAAAACTCTAGAAAGCGTGCACTTCTAGAGTATTGACAATTATGGGTTGGGGTACACGGTGGTAGCCCGTGGCTTTTCGAGGCTTGTTTGATCAACATGTCCTCTTTTCTTTTGGTATTTACACTTTTATTTTATAATGAAAGTTAGATGGGATCCTAGACTAACTTTGTGAGAATGGAGTCGCGCCCATTCTTGCATCGCGCTAAACTTTTATTTTAAATGGTCATTTGGGACCAAAATGATTTGGTGGATTGGACAACCTCGTCTATTGCTTACTCCAAACTAAATTAATTATATTAAATATAAAAGTCGAGTGTTTAGAATTGGTTAGAAAGTATGTTGAGTCAGTTGAATTGTTGAAGTGTGGAGTCTTGATTAATGAATTCAAGTTGTATGTTTATTTACTTTAACTAGTTGAGCATGTCAGGTTTTGTGCGTTGTAACTTTTATGTACTCAGCTTTGCTGATTGCGTGCTTTTGTGTGTTTCTTTTGGTCATGGCCTTCGCCTTTTAATGACCCTGTGATGATCCAATTATTACACTTGTATTATTGGGGATCAGTATTGCACAGGTTAGCTTGATGATGTGAAGTTCGGGGATTTGACATACGCATTGTCAAGGGATTGGTGTGATTGAGAGTATTCGTTCTTTGTGTTGAACTTATTTATGTTTTATTATTTTAATTATGTTTTTGAATTTTGGAATATTGGTTTGGTTTTAATAAGGGCCTTTATGGTTCCAATTTGTAAGCTTTGACTTATTTGTTTTCTAAATTATATTATTTTAAGATGTAAGTTGGATTTCCGCTGCAATACTTTGATAAAGCCTTAACGTTTTAACACGTGGCGGTAACATGCCAATGGTTCTCCTCTATTTTTATTTAAAGTAAGTGGTTTGGAAATGGGAGAATTATTGGGGTGTTAGAAAGTGGTATCTGGGAGCTTAGGTTAGATTTAATTACCACTAAAGCCAATTTTAAAGTTTTTAGGCGCCTAACATTTTAAATCTAATGAGTTTCGTTTTATCTACTTATTTAATGTTTAATCTATTTTTTTTTTAATTATTTGATTCAGCATTTATAAAAAAAATGTTTATTTTATCTAATTTTCGAATTATTTATTTATTTTGAAATAAAATTAATTAATTAATTTTATTTTCTCAACTTCCTTGCTTGTTTCATTTTATCGGTGAGACTTGGGTAGCTTTAGAAAGGGCGTATAGGATAGATTATTTCTTTCTATATGCATTGTAATTAATTCTTTTGTCTTTTTATTATTGTATGAAGTGATTATACAAGTTATTTAATTGTGTATGTTTTATCTAATGTTGCAAACTTGAGTGATCACCTAGTATCATGTTTAAGGTTTAAAGCACGTAATATGGAACTATATGAGATGATTTGTGCTATATGATATGTGTAAATTAACCTTACGTGAAGCATGTAATTATGTGATTATTATAATGTGTTTATTTAATTATATTATTTTCTTAATGTTTGGATTTTGGAAGGGATATAATCAAGGGAATTATTTTATTTAATTTTCGTGTGCGTAGGAATGATTAAAATTAAATAATCATTTCCTTTAAAAGTGATTTATTAGGGGCGATTGTGTGGCCGTGTCCACTTTTATATATATATATATATATATATATATATATATATATATATATATATATATATATATATATATATATATATATATATATATATATATATATTTGATGCTTATGAATGTGATTTATTGAGCAAGTGAGTTCTTTCATGTAGATGTCGGCCTGAAAGTGTGTTACATTTCTAAGCAGAGAAGGAGGATGGCTAACAACGATGCTCTAGCTGATGCTATTAGGCTACTAGCTGAGAACTTGAACCAAAACCGTAATGATAATCCCGATCATTCTGGTGAGATGTTTAAGAAGCTTGCACAAGTCAAACCACCATACTTTGAGGGAGGTGTAGACCTAACTTTTCTGGAGAATTGGATTAGGGAGTTCGATAAGATCTTTACTGCTTTGAATTGTCCTGTGAATATGAGAATGGATCAAGCTGCCATGTATTTGAAGGAAGAGGCAGATGTTTGGTGGAGGGATAATGGAAACGTGCTTCGTGCTGAGGCTAATTTTGGTTGGGAGACTTTCAAAACCAAACTTAGGGAAAAGTTCTATCCACCATTCTTAAGGAAACAAAAGGCTTAAGAGTTTATCAATCTGAAAATGAACAATATGTCGATTACTGAGTACTATAACAAGTTTATGAACTTGTCGAGGTTTTCTCCTGAAGTAGTGCCACTGAGGAGTTGAAAGCTCAAAGATTTGATCAAGGTTTGACTAAGCAGTTACAAAAGGACTTGGCTGGAAAGACTTTTAAGACTCTTGATAAGGTGTATGGGAGAGCAGCGCACCTGTATATCTTGAATGTCAGGAATGCACCTAAGAGTGGGAGTGTTGGAGAAAAGCGTAAGGATTTTGGGAATTTGAGTGACCAAGGTAACTTTAAGAAGCCAAGGAACGAGAATTTCCAGAATAGGAATGTTCAAAACAATGGAGGATCTTCTAGACCTAATGGCCAAGCTGAAAGGCATTACAACTGCAAGAGATGTGGCAAGGATCATCCTGGAAAAGATTGTGATGGGAACTTGGTTGTGTGTAGGTTCTGTAACAAGAAGGGCCATAGGGAGTTTGAATGTTTCTTAAAACTGAAGCAACAAGGGAATGGGAACAAGTTTACTCCAACAAGGAATCAAGGAGAGAATTCGAATGGTTATAATGGGAATGGAAAGAACAGAAATGTTGGCAACAACAACTCCAGGAATCAAGGAAAGAATGTCACTACAGGTCGTTTGTCTGTGATGAACAAGAAGTAAGCTGAAAGGTCTTATGATGTTGTCACTGGTAACTTTTCTATTCATTCTATTTCTATTAAAGCTTTATTTGATTTTTGGAGCCAACTATTCTTTTATTTATAGTTCTGTTGTGAAATAATAAGGACTAGTTAAACAGAATCCGATTGACTTGCCTATTAGTTTGCCTACTGGTGAAGTTGTGAGGTGCACCAAGATACATAAGGGATAACCATTGAGGATTAGAGAGACTGATTTTCCATTTGATCTTATAGAATTTGAGTTGGGTGACCTTGATGTCATTTTGAGAATAGATTGGTTGACCACTTATAAAGCTAAGATTGATTATGAGATACAGAAGGTTTATTTAAGGAGTCCTTCGGGAGAGAAAGTGTCTTACAGACGTTTTAGGAAACCAAAAGGTATTGAGATTGATTCTGCAATGAAGTTGTCGAAACTTGTAAGTAAGGGGTATCCTTTGTTCTTTTGTTGTGTAACTTGTAACCAATGAGTAGTAAGGTGAATGTGGAAAATGTGCCAATTGTGAATGAGTTTTTGGATGTATTTTATGAAGAAGAACGATGGGAGCATGAGATTGTGCATTGAATATAGGGAGTTAAAATATTACGGCAATAAAGAATAAGAACCCACTACCCATGATCGATGATTTGTTTGATCAATTGAAGGGAGCTAGTGTGTTCTCCAAGATTGATTTACGTTTGGGGTACCATCAACTAAGAGTTGCTAATAAGGACTTTCCTAAGACTTCTTTAAGGATTAGGTATGGGCACTATGAGTTATCAGTTATGTCTTTTAGGTTGACCAACGCATCTGCAATCTTTATAGACTTGATGAATCGAGTATTCCATGAGTAAGTTTGTAGTTGTTTTTATTGATGATATTTTGGTATACTCGAATTTTGAGGAAAAACATGAGCCCTTTGGGAGGCCGCGGATCATATGAGAAAGAGATATCGTGAGTTATTTAATGAGGTGAGTTACGAGGGCGTAACTATTGTTCTTTAAGGGGGGTAGAATGCATATAATTTCGCTTTTTTTGCCCTATTTTATGTTATTTTATGGTGTTTTCATGCTTTTCATAGCTAATTTATTGTCTACATATCTAGTGAAGTGCGTAAATTGAGATGGTGATAAGATATTAGTGTCAATATTATGACACAATTGGAATTCCAGCAACATAATTTTGATAATTTTGAAAAGGCTTTATGCAAAAGTTTTGCAATTTAAGGGGGTTTGTGCTAAGTTTCAGGACGAAACTTCTTTTAAGAGGGGTAGATTGTAATCCCCCATATTTTTAAAATAAATTATAAATGGAATTTTATTTCATTTATAATATATATTTGTATTTTTTCGGAATTTAATTTCAAAAGTTTCAATTTTTAATTTGGGTCGAAAATTATTTTGGTACAAATTTTTTTTACATACCATCATTCTATAATTCACACTACAAGAAAATAACCTTTTCGTAGCGATTATTTTAACCTTTAGTATCGATTGTAATTGCAACAAAAAGTTTTCCCAACGAATGGTCATTCGATACAATATCCCCCGTTGCTTTAGCCTTTAGTAGTGGTTTTCAATATCGCTGGGGTTGGCCTCAATAATCGATACGAAAAACTACATCCAATCGTGGTGATTATTGTAGCGATTACAATGGCTATAAATGTATAACTCATTTTTTTCCAAAAAAAAAAATACATGCGTACGATCTTTACAGGATTCGAACATGCAACCTCAAACTCTTATGTTAAATGTTTCACCAATAAGCTATTACATATTTTATGTATTTTTTGTCAAACAATATTTATATATCTAGTGTTGAAAAGGCTTTACGTATCGATTTTTAGGATTTAGTGGCGATTGTAAATGATACGATTTCTCAAAATTATATAAATGTGTAAAAATAGTGTGGATATGTATTATTATGTTTTTCGTATCGATTTTATATGGAAAAACCATGGCGATTGTAAAATGATACGACTTCCTTAATTATTTCACAAACATACTTGCATAATGTAGAGAATGTACAATCGCTACGAAATAAACGCTACTAAAAGACATTTTTCTTGTAGTGTCATGTCCAAACAATCAAAGTCAACCTCACTTTACTTACTTAATTAGCCCATTAATTTTATGAGGCCCAATATTCATATTTACCCTACAAATCTCTCTCCTATAAATACTCCATACATCCCCAAATATTTCCCCACACAAAAAGGTTAGTATTTTCTTTTCCCTTTTATTTTTTTTCTTTCCTTTCTTTTATTTTTCTTTTTCCTTTTTCTTTCTTTTTTTTTCTATTTTTTTTCTTTTCCTTTCTTTCTTACGTGAGTTTTCACTCACCTTGCTGCCCCCCACCGACTGCCACACCACCGCCGGTCACCGGCGCCGCCCCCTGACCGCCGGCGCACCACCAGCAGCGTGGCCCACGTGGCTGCTTGCTCTCTCTTCTCTCTCTTCCCTTTGTTTTCTTTTTTTTTTTGTTCAATGTTTGTTAAATTAGTTTTGGGTTTTGATTTTATAATATAAAGTTTATATTTTTAGTATCAAATTCATGTTTTTGATAGCTTAAACTTATAATTTCATATTTTAATTATGTTATAAATTTTCAGATTTTGTGATTATAAAACCTAGGGTTTCAATTTATTGAAATTGGGATTTTAGGGTTCTTATGATCAATTAATTTGGGGCTTTTGTTCCTATTGTATTTCTATTGATTAATTAAGCATAAAAACATGTTTTTAAGGAAGTTTTAAGAACTTTTAATCTAATTTATAATGCTGGAAATTTGGTTAAGTATTAATTTATTGTTGTTGCTTGTTTTCTAGGAAGTGATTATTTCTTAGGAGACTTTTAAGTGATTAAAAGTGGCACAAAGGATTGTTTACACGAGGTACGTACATGTCTACTTCGTTGTAAGTGGTATCATGTTTAGGTACCAAAGAAAAGAACTTAGTTTCATGATTAGAGAACACTTAAATGAAAATTGTTTGGTTATACATTTAATTAATTCATGTGCTTATGTTTATGAGACATGTTTTGGTGAATTGATTATGTTTGTATGGAATTATGGATGCAAACATGTTGAATTACATTAGATTAATTGTTTGTATGGAATGTTGATACAAGCATAATTTTATTGGATTGGTTTGTTAACCACATTTGGATTATTAAAGGATTGGAATTGAATGGTTTAAGTGGAATGAATTTATTTATTATTCCACAAGGTTGTTATTTATTTTATTTATTATTCCACAAGGATGCAGTGGAGGTGGAGGTTTCGGCTCCATGGATGAGGATGATGAGGACTAGCTATGTTGGGCTAGTTCCCGAACCAATGAGGACATTGTCTGATTCTGGCTTGGGGGAGATTTTGGATTTGGTATCTTTCTTTTCCTCTTTTCTTTTATTTTTGGTGTGTTTTCTTAGTTTATATTTATTGCTTTCTTGGTTAGTTTTATTGCTTTCTTATATATGAAAAATAAAAAAAAATTGAAAAAAAAAATCCAAAAATACGTTCCAATGAATTATAAATCATGTTTCCCTGTGCCCCTTACTTGAGAAAATTGTTTTGATTCTTGGTTATTTATGATAAATATTGTGGATTTGTTGATCATGATTTGATGTTTAATTGTCTTGAAACCTTAACATGCGTCAATTTTGCCCAACTATTTGTGAATATAGTGCTTGACTAGTTGATTTGGTTAGGATTGTGTGTTAGTTCCTGGTATGTCAATGAATTTGAGTATTGATTTGCAACTATAAGTAATATTTATATGACTCATTATTATGCACATTGAGGAGGACGAAGGCGTTCATTCTTTTAGATAGCCTCCAGATGATTGTAGATACATTTGTTCCCTTCTTGCTACCCATGTTGTTGCCTTGACTTTTTGTTGTTTATTAGTCACATTACAAGCCTATTTTGCCCCATTGTTTACTAGTCCCAAGCTTGGCTTGGGGGAGCTAATAGTGAGTGAGGTGAGGGAGTTTGTAGTGTGCTTATTATTTGCACAATTTGGGTGGGTTTTGAGAAGTTATTTTGTTTTTTATCATATTTATTTTTGATGAGTTTGAAAGTTATATCTATCTTCTTGAAAAAAAAATAAAGGATGATGTTATGAAAATAAAATGAGAAGATCAAGAATAAAGAAAAAAATAAGAAAAGAAAATGAGTGAACTTCAATAGAAAAAAAAAAGCAAAAAGAAAAAAAAATGTTCAATGTTCAAATGTTCTAGTTGGAGGTTGATTAAAAGGAAGAAAAATTTTGAGCTTCTATGGAAAAAAAATTAAATTTGGAAAATAAAGTTTGTTTATTCACTCCATTTCTTTATTATTATATTTTATGAGTGAAATTGTAAGAGTTGGGATTGTTTATGTTGTTTGGAGTTGTATTTGGTGGGTTTTTGTTAGAGTTGAGTTATGTAGGAGATGTTGATCATTATTTATTTTGATCATGGGTTTTATTAGGATATGGCTCCCTTAAGCATAGCTTTTCTCTCACTTGTTCCCAAATGATTCCTACCCTTCACCCTAGCCTTACATTACAAGCTTTAAAGACCTTCCGACCTTTGTGCATAAGAGTTGTATGAATGTGAAATTGTTGTTTATCAATGCAAGTTATGATTTGACATATTTCGAGTTGACTAGTAGGTTGAGCGTACATCTTTTTATACACACGAGAGTGTGAGTTGGGAGGGCATTGTTCACATAAAGGGGTTGGTTGGAGAGCGATCGAATACATCTTTTACTCGCCACATAAATGAGAGTTGAGTGTGTGAGCACTAGTCTTGAATTCTATATGCTCTTGTGGTTTGCTCTATTTGACAATTGTTAGGGAAGAAGGGCAATTAGATGGATTTGATTGGTTGATTTTGAAGCATGTTTATTTGATTTACCCTGAATTGTTTGTGCTTGATTTTTACTTTTGGGGGTGAAGCATATTTATTTATTCATTGATGAGATCTTTGCTTAGGGATAAGCAAAGGTTTGGCTTGGGGGAG